CAAATATATTAGAATTTTATGGAATAACCAAAGGTAACGAATGAATTAATTTTAGTACGAATAGAAGAAAAAGAGTAAAATTAACATTTTAATTTATTTATATTTTATAGATCCAAATACCAATAGATATTTGTTAGTGATTGAGTATGCAGATGGTGGAACTTTAAGAAATTATTTAAACAAGAACTTTTCATCATTAAGTTGGAATGACAAATTAGATCTTGCAAAACAAGTTACAAGTGTAACAGCTTGCTTACATTCAGAAAACATAATTCATAAAGATCTTGTAGGTTTATATATTTATTAATTATAAATATAAAATATGTATTTAATTATTATATTAATCCATTTTATATATATTAGAAGGCTGACAGTAATGTACTTGTTAATAAAGGAAAAATCAAATTTTCTATTTTTGGATTATCCTTACAATCAACATCAGATATTAAAGGTGATATGACATATATTGGACCACAATGTTATGAAAAAAATAATAAAAAATCAGATATTTATAATTTAGGCTTTTTACTTTGGGAAATATCAAGTGGTAAAACTCCATCTAGAAACCTTTACCTACCATCAAATAACAACACATCTTCATTTTCATCTTCAATAATTCAGGAATCATCAGCAAAAGGAACACCACAAAGTTATATAGATGTTTACAAAAACTGTTGGAATGATGACCCAGATAAAAGACCTGACATTAATGAAATTGAAAAATTACTAGGTCAAATTAATATTACTTCTAAAATAAGGAATGGGATTTCCACAACAAAATCTTCTTCCAATACTGCTAATCAAAAAAAATTGATAAAATTAGAAAATCGAAAATCTATCGAGAAAAAGAATACCCTACCAAATATTAATATTATAAAATCATTGGATGAACGAAATAGGATTATCAACAAAAATATTAATAATAGCAGTACTAATAATAATGGTAAATCACTAAAAACAAACAGAACAATTTCCTCTTCTTCGTTTTCTTCAAGAAGAAGTTCTTTTAATGATACATTAAATTCTTCTCAAAATCGATCAATAGCTCAACATAGAAGAAGTTCATTTAATGGTGCGGCATTTACATCATCATCTACATCATCATCTACATCATCATCTACATCATCATCTCCATCATCTCCATCATCTCCAGTAACCAAATTTCATCAAATTCCACAAAGTCCAACAAAATTAAATTCTTCAAACAATAGTATAGAAAGTAATAAAAAAATTATAGCAGATACTGATTCAACATTTTTTGAAAATTTATTAAAGTTCTTTATAGAATTATTAGAATTATCGGGTGATAATAACTATATAATATCCAGTCTAAAGGGATTTTTACATAATCATATGAGAGAACACAAATCAACTTTTAAATCATTACTAAAAAATTATAATGACGATTCAGATTTTAATTTCATAATAGGATTTTTCTATGAAAATTCTATTGGTACAGTGCAAGACAAACAATTGGCTTTCGAACATTATGAAAAATCCGCAAAAACTGGTAATTCCATAGGTCAATATTTTTTAGGCAGGTGTTATTATTGGGGATTCGGGATAAAGGTTGATAGAAAAAAAGCTTATGAATGGTTAAAAAAATCTGCAGATAATGATAATTTTAAAGGTAAATGGCTATTAGGTTTATGTTATGAAAGAGGCTATGGCACAACAAAAGATTTGAAACAAGCATTTGAATTGTTTTTGAGTTCTGCTGAAAATGGTAATGTTGTTAGTCAGATGGAACTAGGCAGATGTTACGAAGAAGGTGTTGGTACCAAAAAAAATATTAATCAGGCTATTGAATGCTATCAGCAAGCCTCTAAACGTGTTAGTAATAGTTTGGCTCAAAAGAAACTAGACAATTTGAAGAAAATTTTGGAAAATAAAAAGAAAATTTTAGATCAAAAAAAATTTTAAAATATTATTTTATTATATTTGCATATTAATAAAAAATTTATATATGTTGTAATATTACTGTTATAATAAAAAAAAATAATTTTACATCAAATTTCATAATTGAAAAAAATTCTTCCGGTGATTATGTTATATTAATAGGAGATTTTTTTAAGCTATTTTGTTAATATATATCTTGATCATTAATAATGCATTACCAAAGATATCTCTATTAAAATTTACAAAGTCCGAACTTTTCAAATTTTCTCAGTTCACAATTTACCAAGAAAAAGGATTCTAAATCATTTTAACGTTAAGCCTGGTTACATTTACAAAAAAATACAACTGTTGCCATAAAAGTAGTCGGAGAAACATTTCCGTGGACAAAAAAGAAAATAAAATTATATATTTAAGTGAAGCACAGCAGTTTAATAGAATCAAAGAAAAATTGCAGAACACCAAAATCATCTTTTCGCTTGTAATTTTTTCAGGTCATGATCTATATTCACGTGATAAAATAAACCAATCAGATAGATTTCACGATGCGTGGAAATAAATAAAATAAATGCTAACCAAGTCGCACAAATTGTTTTCCTGAAACATTTTCAAAGGGGATAGCAACATGCCCAAGAGTTATAAGAATAAGATTCATAATTTAGATGAAAATGATAATTTAGAAATAAAGACAGAAAGTGAAAATAGAAATATTGTTTCTGGTAGTCAAACTTTGTTGAATGAAGACAGAATTGTCTTGAATGTTGGTGGCATAAAGGTAATTTAGATTGATAAATATACTATATCTTCCAACAACAATTAATCAATTTTTAATTTTTACTTGAAATTTTTTACATAGTATGAAACATATCGTTCAACATTGACAGCATATCCAGACACATTGTTGGGAATAATGTTTGCGGAACGCAATAAAGAAATGCTTCACCCTACAAATGGGAATGAATATTTTTTTGACAGAGATGGACATTTATTTAGATATATTTTACAATATTATCGAACAGGAAGGATCCATTGGCCAGAATCAACACAACAAAATCAATCAATCGATAATGATATGTATGATAATAATGAATTGTATTATAATAATAATAATAACAACAACAACTGCAATAATAATAATGGTTCTACATTTTCAAATAATTCAATAATTCCAATTTCACGATCTGAATTAGAAATAGAATTACAATATTTTCTAATAACACCAACAACATTAAATGATAATAATCAAGTGTCAATAAATGAATTATCATCTTCTTCTTCATCTACATCTCACTTGTATGAACAACAAATCAACAACAATGACAGCAGTAGCAACAATAAGCAAGAATTAACATTTGCTAATAAAGTAGTAATACAAAATATTAACGGATTTGTTAGAGCATTAAAAGAAGCGTTGAAACAAGTAGCAGGGCTATTTGAAAAAAATATAACAATAATATTTTATCATAATAGACAAGTACCAACTTTTAATTTATTATCCACCACTCATTCATTAGTTAAAAATGAAACAGCACCATTTCATAATATAATTAAAAACATTCTGATACCTTATTCAGGTGTTGGTTATACAATTCTAATGAATTTTGAGGAAGAAATTCAATTATATTTGAAAAGAGAAATTCCTGAATTAACCTGGTGGATGCAAAAACCAACTGATCTACCAAATAGATTTGTGTTGCATCTCACTTTAAATGATAGATTCTTAAAACAACTTATAATCAAGAATTCATGTTTATCATCTATTAATACTAAATAATATAATAAATAGCTTTATATTTTTTTTATGTCTTGCATAATTTTTAATGTGTAACATTTTAAACAACAAAAAAATAGGGGATTATTTCCAAAATTATATACTTACATGTTTTTTTCTTTTAATCAATTTTTTTTTTGAAAAAAATAAATATATGTGAAAGATGGGTAATGATGATGTTTATAAAACACAAACCATTCTTAGAAAAGAAGATTTCATTGGTAATTTTTTTAAATGGCTCTAATATTGGTAATATTATAATTCAAAAACCGGAAGTTATAAAATACTTGTAAAGATAATGGGGCAAGAAGCAGAAAATAATAACAATGATAGCAATATAATTGATATGGAAACTACACCTAGAAGAGAACAAGATTATATTTATTGATGATAATTTTACATATAATCTATATAATAATGAATATGAAATTTTGGTTAATGTGAATGAAACGGTTGCAACAATTAATAATGATATGAATCAGGCAAGAAAAACTTTACAGGTGATTAATTTTGACAATAAAAATGCTAAAAAATTTTTGATATTTGGTATTTAAAAATAATAATCTTTAAAAAATTTTGTTTAAAGGAATTTTTCAGAGTAATTAATAATACAGATAGACTATTGGATTTATGGGTAAATATATTATCACAAAGTATTTATAATCAGCAATTAATATCAAATAAATCATGGCAAGGTTTAATAATGGTTAGTTAAAGAAAAACTAATTAAATAAACATGTATGTATGTAAGAATGGGAGACATAATTTATTTAACTAAATTTTAGGATCATTAAATCCCAATAGAAGATGCAAAATTAAAAGTATCAAAAAATTTAAATGAAAAATATAAAAGTAATTTAGTATTAGAGAATCAGTAGAAAATATTAGAATTAACAAAATCATGTAAATTCAAAATTTTTAATTTATTTATCAACTAGCTGAAAGATTAAAAAGATCTGCTGTGGAAAATTCTGCTATATTTGTAAGATTGAGAGGTATAATAAAATGATTCAAGCAAAATGATGATAATTATTACATGGTGACTATGGCTAAAAACCCAATTTCTATTTTTTTTTCGAAATAAACAATAAAAATAAACGAAAATGTGGGTTTATAAAAAATTCCTTTGGTTTTCATTATTATAATAATATTTTATATGCTAAGGCTGGAAAAATTCCTCGATATTGAAGTTATTAGAATGATCCAATTATTAATCTACTAATTATATTTATAGAAGATATTAATGATGGTAATGAATCTAAAAAATATTAATGATGACAATGAATCTAAAAAAGAATATTATTATCCCAAATTGGAATTAAAGAGAAAAAGACAAATAAATTACTTAAAGTTGAAATTTTATGATATGAAATATTCAAAAACCTCGGGTTTATGATGATTTACAATTATAATTAGTATTAGCATTAGTATTTACTATTCGTGTAATAGATATTTACTTTTAAGGTAATTATAAACCAAATTTTATTCGGCTTAACAAAATAATTATGTTTTTAGTTAACCAATTTTGATTGTTATAAAGCGAAAATCGGGTTCGGCTGTATACCTGGAGGAGAAATTATTTGATAATGTTGATAATGATAATTATGAAAAAATTCAGTTTTAATAGAACATCTTACCAATATGAAATCAAATGATAAACAACATTTATTATGCGGAAGTTCTGCATACTCTGCTGAAAATCAAAAATAAATGCAAAATACTAGTATGTATTTCCAATTATTTGCAATTTCTTTCAATTATTGTCATTCTATATTTTTAAATAGGCTTCCAACATCTGATGTTCTCAATTATAAAAAAAATCCAGATTTTGCCATAACTCATATTAATATGGGACATTTACTAATTATAAAATATGATAAACTTGAAGTCCATGTAAAATTATTATTTACGACATGATTTGGAGTTGAGTCATTGGAAACTTAGCAATTGAAGAACATTTTAATGCAAGGTAAATAATTTCTCTTTTTAGAAAAAGAAAAAAATTTGCCGTAATTATTTAATTATTATTTTTCTTCATTAAAAATAATTTAAAGATAGATTTACCAATTAACACAAAAGATATTTATTATCGAGATGAGATTGGAAATGCGTCAACCTCGCATTTGGAATATCATTATCAAAAGGGTAAAGGCAATAATAAATATACTTTTGAAAATTAAACCAAGATATTGTGATCAACACATTCTAAATGAATTCATTTCATATGATCAAGTTCAAATTAGGATTATTTTATAGAAGGAGCAAAGTAAAAATAATTAGTTTCTTTTTATAAAAAAATTTTTTTTAAATAAAAAACTAAAACAAAAAATAATCAAATTGAATTCCTTGGTTTTTATTTAGAGATGTAAAAGTAGAATTACCATTTCATATAGATGAAAAAATCTACCGGATTCTCTCTATAACGGACAAATTTTCTGGTCCCAATGATCCGTTATAGACAGTGTGGACTGTAGGACGATCTATAGTTGTCTTCCTGATGGAATGCATCTATTGACAGATGTTGGACATATGTATAAAACAAATGGATTTTTAAATTTTTAGATTTTTACGTTGCAGAAATGGAATGGGGAATTGAGATACTTATCAATGGGATTAAAATGAAAGAGCATCATCAACGTTTCCAAGAGGGTATGTAAAGTTTATATGTAGTATTGTGTTAGACTATTGGTTTTACCTGCTAATGCATACTTACCTTTTATTAAGGTGGAAGATATGAACAAATACCAAATAAAATCACGCCTTCTTATTGACTTCCGTGAAACAAAAAGTGTGCGAAAGCCCTATGTCGATACATGGCACATACATAACACCTGACTTAAATTTCACAAATTTTAATGTGTTGGTTGGTACCAACACTGGAATTAGGAGATTCAAAATTCCGCTTAATAAAAAAACCAATATCAAGTTAATAGACAATCTGGAGAAAGAGAATATAAATCAAACGAAAAATCTTCAGATTGTTGAAAACAGAGAAGAATCTTCTGGATACTCATCATCAGAAAATATATTCATTGTGACTGTACAAAGGTGTATAAAGAAGAAAAAAATGTAATAATGGTGAAAATGCTAATTGATTTTTAAATCAATAAACTTTAATATGAAAAAAGAATCTTCAATTATTCAATATAGTATATTAAACATGAAATTTTTTTTAATCGATTTACAGATATCACTTTTTGTTGTAGCAGTTGATTGTAATTAATCACAAATAAATAAATTATTGTTATTATAATTTAATATTTAATAAGTAATTTCTGTAGAAAAAAGTCAAAGCAAAATATATATTTAATAATCATAAATTAAAGTGATTGACTTTATCTTTCCAAGTAATTTTTTGATAAATTTACAATAGATCATTTGGATCCTTAGTACAGTCAACAATTGTTTCAACAGGCTTTTTTTCAACAAATTTTTGTCACAACGAATTTAAATGAAGTGAATTCACAATTCACATATGTGAAATTCAAATTAGCCAATCAGAATTTACCCATTCCATAATATTTCAATTTCACATAATTTCAATTTCACATATAACAAGTACATTGAAACAAGGAATTTCATAAATTTCATAACATTAACTAACATCATAATCACATTACATTTGTGATGATCCCTAGTAATACAAATGTTCACTTTGTTCCATATTATATACTGTTGAAAATATCTATAACAAGATTTCAAGTCACAACATAACAGCAAAATGCCATGCGTCAAATATTTTTTCACTTACTCATTAATGGTGATATGGTGGAATTAGTAGTAGCGATGGTAATAGTAAAGTTGTAAAGTACAATTATTAATAATAAAATAAAAATAACGAACTCCTATAAAATATATGAGTTTCCTTTTGTAAAGCCCTTGACCTAATAAAATTTTCTTGATAGTAATTTTAATTTCTTTAACCAAATCTGGTAAAATTATTATTATTATTATTTTATTGATTTATAAATAATTTAAATTAATTCTATTAATAAAAAATGATAAAATTTTTTTCTAAAGTTGTTTAATTAGGTACTAATACCAATCTATTTGGAGTATCGTGTGATAAATCATTAATTACATTTTTTGTACTTGTATATATTAATTTTTCAGCCATTTTTGATGGATGTGAATTACCAAATTCACCAATTATTAACGCAATAGTACCAGTAATATGAGGAGCTGCTTGACTTGTACCAGAAAAAATTACTCTGCCAGTATTTGACTCACTTGAAGCTGAAATTATATCTACACCGGGTGCAAAAATGTCCACGCATCTACCAAAGTTTGAAAAATCAGCTTTTATGTTTTTTCGATGTTCAATTGCACCTACTGTAATTGCTGATTGTGCAGATGCAGGTGATACATCACAAGCGTCATCACCATCATTTCCAGCTGCTGCTACGACATGTATACCCGCATTAGTAAGTAATCTTACTGCGTAATTTAATGCTTCTGAGGTATCGCCACCAAATGACATATTAACAACTGTATTTTTATTTCTACTGGTCTTGTGTTTATTTAACACAAATGCTATGCCAGCTATTACTTCTGAAACACGACCATTTCCAAAGGAATTGAGTACTTTAACTGAAATAAGTCTACTTTTTCTTGCTACACCAAATGTTTCGCCGCCAATAATTCCTGCGATATGCGTACCATGACCATTGTCATCAAAGCTTTCACATCCTATACAGAATGTACCTCCAATGCTAGCACGACCTCCAAATTCTTTATGGTCTATATTTATACCAGTATCAAGTACATAAATATTTACATCTGAACCTGCTGAACTAGGAAATGAAAATTTTCTATCTAAAGAAAAATGTGCTTGATCTATACGATCTAAATTGAAAGTTGGATTAATATGTGTGATACTTTTACTTTTTAATGTATAATCACCACCATCATCAGTATTGTTATAATCCCCTTCAATGAAATCTGTTATAACTCCAAAAGTTGAGACAAGTGTATCTTTTTCAATTAATTGAATTTCTGGTAATGGTCTGAGTTGTTCCTCGACAAATAAAGGATCAAATAAACCTGAATAACCTTCAAGCGAGCCTCCTGAAAAAACAAACAAATGGCTCGACTTATAATAAAATTCCTTGCCAAAAGCAAATGAAGGGACTCTGCCCCAACATTCTTTCATGAACTTTAAATGCTTTTCAAGTATCAATGATTTTTTTTCGTTTGACACTGTTGTTTTAAGTAAAACCAAAAATTTTTTTGTTGGTTTTTGATATTTTTTTTTTAATCGAGTAATAGGTTGAGGGCATTGAGCCTCGACTAATTCTTCTAATATTGAAAAAACTGCGAGGAAAATTGTAAATAAAAGGATAGAAAATTTAATCATTTTTTATGAATAAATAATATAACGAATGTGTATGTTTGAATTAGGTAAAATGCGAATTTATAATGGTTGTGAAGCGAATGGATGAATTTTGAGGATGGTGGAGGGTAAAATTAATGAAGTGTAAAATAAATAAAAAAAAAATTTAAAAGCTCATTTTTAATTTTACCATTTATTTATATTAATTAAATACAACGAAAATCTTACCAATAAAAGCAACAAGTATTTTCTTTCCATATTAATATTAATATAAAATTTTATATCTCCGCCTTTTTTTAATTGACCCAATTTAGCATAGTTAGAAATTCTTTATGGATAGTTCGGCGTTACACACATTTCAAGAATCTAAACTATCCAATTTTAGGAGTCCCTGCTAATAGCCCAAACTGGTTTGGGCAATTTGGGCTTCTCAACATTTTCTATAAGAATGAGCATTCAAAAACTATACGAATCAACTTGTTTTAACTTGAAAACTTTAAAATAATTTCGTCCAATTTCGGCTAATAACAAAAAGTAGTAGTAGTTTGGGCAATTTCGGCTACTAATAGAAGCAGTTTCGATCAGAATCCTTAGTCCCTACATATAGTCACACAAGACATCAACTGACCATATTTGCACGATGTAGATGTTCTATGAACTTCGAATAACATACGAAATCTATATAGAGGTAAATCATCTCGATTCAGTTACACTCGATATGTGTAATAATTAATTAGCTTATGTATGAAAATATCAACCACCTGAGTTGGCTTTATTGATACAGAAATACATAGTAATAGCACAAGATGCCCATGCTAATAATCAATTATCTTCTCGATCTGAGGACACTGTAGAACTTCGTTTTTTTTTTTGGCGCTCTGATTTAGCCTCTGGTGCATTAATCAGCAAAGAAATGTTGACAATTAGGTTATTCTATATAATTGAGCAAATAATTTAGTCAACTACCATTTGCAATTCTGGGTCGAAAGAAAAAATAATACCCGTAAAATTAATAATGCCTCCACAAACTCCTAAAATAATTCGTGAAAATATTTCTCATTTGGCTCTATTTCAAGGGAGTAGATCTAGAGAAGACATATCCAGAATTGTACGAAATATAAGATGTCCCAAAAAAAGCATATAAGATTATTGATAAACATTTGCGGGAGCAAAATTTTGTGGTTTTCGATTTTACTTAGCCAGTGGATGATTCTCTCGCAATTAGGTTGGGATGAATAGGAACAACCAGCTTATTAATTAATTAAGTAATAATTTTTATCAAACAGCAAAGCATAGGATCTATTTAATTAATTATAACGACCCACATATTCACATATAGTCATTCCAGAAAACTCAGAGAATTAGGGATTATATAAGTAATAAAGTTACCATGGGTTATTAGACATATTTATTATATCAATACATTTTTATCATAATATCATATTTAAATTCTTACCGAAGTTGTAATTAGTAAATCAGTTTGGCTTCCGTTAACTAGAGGTTAACGACGGGTATTCAAAAATGTAGTGAGTCTGGTCTCATCTCCAATATCTAAAAACTTTAACGGATTCCCTGGTTCATGAACATACGCTAGTTTATCTGTTACATCATTACCAACAAGGGCATATTTAACTTGATTACTGGGGTCATATTCCCAGAGTAAAATTTTGGCTTGAACCCACTTGCTCCAATTATTATCATCCCCAATGGACAACTCAAACATCTCAGACGCATAAAATTGTCCTGCAGGTGCTTCATAACCCCCAGCTCGTTTTGGGTTTGTACTCCACCCCTTCCTCCCAAGTATCCTTTTAACATGATATGGCAAGATGGATTCTGGAGCACCTGTATCAACCACACACGTATACTCTTTGTTGTTATCATTAAGGTTTATTCAAATTATTTGTTTTATTCATTATGAATTTGAGTATTCAAATTACATTGAAAGTTTATTTAAATAAATTTTTTTAATTCAAATAAAATTAATGATTCGAACAAACACAAAATTTTTTAATCCGCAGTAAAAAATAGGTAAATCATGTGACTAATTTCAGTGTTTTATTTTCATTGCCCGTTTCATAATAACATTTGGGAATTAGCAATATCATTAACTAGCATGCTTTAATTCCTTGTCTGACTTTTATCCCATGATCCCATGAAGATTAACATCAGACAAGCTCGTAGGATGGAGTTGACTCAATAGATGTTCCCTACATATCACTACTTATTTTCTGCATTTCCAACTACAGAAATTGCCTACTTGTAATTATTGATCAGCTGTTGTGATTTTCATTTTTTTGACCTTCCTCCGTATCATTATTATCTTTCCAAATAATACTCTATATTTTGTCCAGCGTCTATTTTTTGGACACGAATGAAAAGGAATGTGAAAAGTCATCATTGTGTTGAGAAATAACTTTTAACCAAAAATGCATATTTCAAATTCACCGCCCAAAAAAAAAAACATTATCAGATAACTTTTATTAAAATGAAATAAAAAAAACATAAATCCATTTATCCGTATTATCTAATTCATTAAATACAGATTCAAGTATTCATTCACCTATGAGACTTATATTTTCGAACTTTATATCTGCCAAATATCCTGTCAGGCCTTTTCTGTAAACATCCATACAATCAATTAAAATATAACAATTTAACTCTAATGATTTAAATAATAAACATTTTTATTTTTATATTTTTATTTTAGCGATATCATCATAATATAATGTTATATTTATTGATTATTGATTATTGCTGTTACAAATTTTCAATTAATTACAAATAAGAAATAAAATAATCCTATTTAAATAACAAATACTTTCCTTTATATAATAAATTAGGTCGTTTGGACCAACGGATTACTGTTTTTCTTTTCATGTGACACGGTTAATCCTTAATAGCGATATTGCTTTACTTCAAAAAAAATTATTACGTGCCTTTTTGTCAATTAGAATTGGGCAGCATAGATAAAAAGTCTGATCATTGGTTATTATTAAATTTTTTATTTTGAAATAATAATTCGTTTATTTTCATTACTTGTCTAAATTCAAAGAAAATTTCTTCTAGAAATTTTTTTTCTTTCGTCAGGACTGATTAGATCGACAAGGGGATTGATAATTTAGAAATAATCAATACCCAACGCCCACCATAGTTGGATGTCTTAAAGACCTCCTAAATTTTGCACAAATTTTCACTTACTGTCCTACCTTTTAAAAAAGTAGTCTCAGAACACAGATCTCTAATTATAATGTGATGAAGAGATTTCTCAAAGAAATTATTTATTGTAGTTTTAGTATGGTGTGGATCATTTAAAGACATCAAAAAAATCATGCAACTTCAAACCCATACATGAGATGGTAATTAGCTAATTACCGTAAATATGTAATTCGTAATTGACATAATTAATTACCACTTTCATTCTTTAAAAACGTAATTACATAATTAATTACGTAAATAATTTCGTAATTATGTATTACGTATTACGTATTACATTTTTGGCAAAACCATCCCATGTATATTCAAACCACTAAGGCAATTTTTTTTATGAAATTGAAAAAAACTTTCTATTTTGCAATCTTTAGAATAAGGTTGCTTGCTGAAACCTCTTAATAACTGCCAAAACTCTGCCAATTGTCAAATGCGAAAATAATTTTTTTAAAATTTTAAAACCAAAGATCAAAATCACGAGAAGATCCTT